GTGTTTCCTTGACTGATGAAGCCTTCCGGATCGAAGGCGAAACGTTTAAGCACAAAAAAAGAAACTGTCCAGATAACCTGACTGGAAAATGTTGAACTATGTCCTATTATTCCCATAATGCAACTCTATTTAAGTTATAATTTATTAAACTGCTGCCCCGAGGCTGTTAAGCAGACTTTAATTTTCCACATTCACTCCAACATCTTGACGATGTTCCTCCAGAACAGCAACCAGTTGAAATGTGTCCAGAACTGACAAGGAGAGGAAGATTAATGAAGCTTTGGTGCTTTAAACTCAGGAAGCGGGTCGACATCTAGTGGTCTAAAAAAAACCACAGCAGCCCTTTAAAGCTGAGGAAACTGCTGCGTCTCTCTGAATTTAAGTTTCAATTTCAAAGGAGGGCAATGCAATAATAGTAGTAAAAAGCAAGAACATCCTCTCCTATAAGGTTTACCGTGTTGGAACGTGATAAAAAAAAAAAAAAAATCTTGTCCTCACAAGATTTTGTATTTAGCCAAATAAAAACTCAGATTAGCATACAAGATATTAAACCTCATCATTTCTTAACATAAACTAGGAAAACAATTGAATTCAGTTTTGCAGCTTCCATGGGAAATATTAGAATAAGTGTTATTAGTAAAGTTAACTTGATTAACTGATCATCAGCAACTTTTAAAAACAAGTTTTGACAGTTTTATGCTCTGAAACTTTCAGACAAGATGGAAAGACATCAGCAGTGATCCAAGAGAAGCACCTTCTCTTGCACATAAACTAAGGAAACAGTTACAGGTCAGTTTTCAGGCAATATGGACTCAATATTTCTTCAGTGAGAAAAAAAACAAACAAGTGGAAAAGATTCAAGATTCAAACTGCTGTAAACATTTACAATGCAGACTCAACACGCCACCGTCAGCATGCTGAATAGTAAAACTCGTGAAATGACTCATGAAGATTATTTTCTAAAAACAATCTGACCACACAGTTCAGGTTTTTATGTCAAGTTGCATCTGAACAAGCTGCTCGACTTCTCCAGATGAGACTAAAATACAGATGTTTGGCCTAAATGCATGGCAGCACATGAGGAAGAAAACCCGGTATAGCAGCATAAATATAGCAAGTGTCAGTGCAGCTGGAGAGGATTTGGGCTTGCTTTGTAGCCACAGAACCTGGGTGCCTAGCAGTCATTGATCTGACCTTGAACGCCTCTTGTTTAACAAAATATTCTGGGGTCAGTTGTGAGTTCATCTGATCGACAGCTGAAATTTGTCCCAGAACGCGCAACAGAACAAAGATCCCAAACACAGCAGGAAATCTGCAATAAAAAGGGCAACGCAATGGTTCAAAGTCCAAACGCGTCTGAACTGAAGGACCTCTGAGAGGCCTGTTCGTGAACTGTGAACCTCAAAGAACTGAAGCAGCACTGTGAAGAAGAGGGAGCTCAAATTATTTCACAGAAATGTAACGTACTGATATGAACGGGTCATACAGAAGATTAAAATAAAGTTATTACAATAACTGACTCAGTGACTTTTAAACTCATTATTGGTGTTTGTGTTACAATATTTCAAATAGTACATGTATGTCCTACTTATTTGACAAATGTTTAAACTAAATTGGTGGAATGTGACCTACAAAAACTAAAGAAGACAAACATGCAGCTACCTGACAGTAACAACGTAGCCACACAAGTCAGATGCTTCTCTGCCTTCCAAACTGCTGCCTCCATGTTATTCTGAGTCCTCGCTGACACCAGAGATCTGCAGGACAACCATCATAAATGCTACAAGAGTTTCTACACAACCAGGAGAATTATTTCTCATTATGCCGTGAAAAGAAATGTTGGTTGAACTGTATCCATATTTGTAATAAAAACAAAAATTATTACTCACATTGTACCAAAAGGAGGCAACTGCTCTTCCTGGAGATGAGAGGTGGACAAATAGAAGGTGTTTGGACTCGTTTTAGGAATTGGACTCAGAATTAAGTCCAGCTCCATTTCAGCTGGCAGCAGAACACGACCTAAGAAAAACGTTTAATTTAAAATCCTTTACTTATTTGACTCTTGGTGGCAGTTTTTATTACCAGAAGTCATAGGAAGTCAGACTTGTGGATGATTTCAGTGAGATTCACCTGAAAACTCTGATTCAATCAGGCGTTCACTCAGCTTATTTTCTTTTTCATGCTCCGTGGGTACATCAAAGCAGGAAATGTCCACTGATGGTTTTGGACGAGAAGCTAAAAAACAAATTTGTGCTCAATTTTCTCATTTGTTATTTCATTTGACCTAAAATATTTCCATACTTTCCTTACCATTGTGAAGCAGATCCAGGACAGACCACTGCTCATACAGCTGTTCAGGAGAAACAATCATCCAAGCAGAGATGCTGGAAAAGGTGGTGAAGTTCTGTGGGTTCAGCTGAGGAGTGTCGACTACAGCCGGTAACAGCAGCAACTGCAGAAGAAAAACAATCAGTAAAATATAATATGAATCCGTCATTCGTAAAGTTAATTACCTCTCCCTCCAAGAGTGGTTCTTTAATAAACTCCTCCTGAACATCTGCACAAGTCTGACTAGCAGGGTCCACATCTGGAGGCTTTTGATAGGAAGCACATGGCCTGTAATCCAGGATGATTTAATAATTTGGTTACACGGAGCTATGAAAGTGTACTTAAAAACTTCCTTTTTGACAATAACAAGCAGACGCCAGGATGCAGCAGCCCCTGTGATCACAAAGTAACACCTGGACATGGCGTCCTCTGACATGGCAAGTCCTGCTGGGCTCAGCAGAGGGTCGGCCACCGGAAGCATTTTGAGTCTGGACAGTTTGGCTTTCAGCGAGGGTAAGCGTCTAAACTGTGGCAGGTAGTCCAGAGATACGAGCTCCTCAGGAATTAACAGATCTACAGAGACAAACAAGCTTTGTTAAATGAAGCAAGCTTTCTCAAGACGATCAGAATCAAATGTTTCTTTAAATGTATTGTGGGGGAAAATTATAAAAAAGAACTTCCCTTTGTTCTCGTTTTCTGACGTCCTCTGGCCGGGTGACCACTTTAAGAAGGATTCCTGGTATGGATTGTCGATCTGTGGTTCTTTTAAATAAATCAACTGATCCAAGTCAAAATCCTCCAGTGAGTCAGGATTAGAGCTGGGTATCACCTCCACATGGTTTTCCACAGAAAATCTGAAGTGTGACACGATTCTTCACTCTTTCCAGAAATACTAACAGGCTGACATTTCAAGGTGCATCTCAAGATGGTAAAACCTTTCTAGAGAATTAACAGGTTGATTTCTTCCTTCATGTTCATCAAAGTCCGAACCACCCACAAAGAGTTTGCAGGAAGAGATCACCTTTCCTATAAAAAATTCAGAACAGGAACAAATCTTTTGAAATTGACTCAAATTTGAATTAATAAAGTATAATGCATAGTTTGTAATAAATGTGCAAAATCAGCAGAGTCCTGTTTTGTTGCCACAAGTCGTTTGTTTACATCTGAATATTATCAAGTAAACTTCAGACAGTCTCGTACTGTGTTGGTAAAATAAAATAATCCCAGGATGTAAATAAAGCCAGAGTGAGAACGATGGATCAGATGGCAGGTCAAGAGAAAAGGTAAAGCTCTTTACTCTTCTTCTGAAAGAAACTGCAACAAAAAAGGTTTAAGGACAAGAGTCGACAGAAGTAGAGTCATTTCAGGGATGACATCAAGCGTCGGAGAGATTTAGAACAAAAGTTGTAACTAAGATCATCTGACATGTGTTGGGCTCAGTCTGAACTCCAACACGAAAGCTTCTATAACTGATTGTAGTTTGCCGAATTCAGTTCTAACATGATTTTTACAAAAACCCTGATGAGTTTGAGATTAATTGCATAAATTAGAAGAATAAAAACTCAAATCAAATGGCTTCAACAGACGAGCCAACATTCAACGACACCAGCAAACTTCGAAAGACTATAGGAAACGAGTGGTAGCTTAAGACTGTACTGTTTGTAACGTCTGGAGTGCGTGACTTTAATTTAATGTTTATTTATGTTTTTAAATAACTGAATTGTAGTCCACAGTTTGTCTTCTTTGTTAGAGAAATAAATATTAATCCAGTCCACAGGAACTGTTTGAAATACCTTTTATTCAGGCTTTACAAAGCCCTACATTTATTTGCAACCTTGACATTATGTCAAGACGTAACAGGTGTACCTCTGATCCAGGGGGTCCTGTAGGTCCCATTAGTCAGCTTCCCTCTGTGGGGGTAAAGGTCACTGGCACCAGTCAGGTAAGGTTCTGGCAGGGCCAGTAAGTTCATGGTTACCTTCAGGGTGGTGCTGGTCTGAAACAAACACCAGAGGAAAATCACAGGAACTAAGATTAACAGGAGATGGTCAGCTAAAGAAAAACTCACCTCAAATACATAATCCAGAGCTCTAAATCTGACAGCAGAGAAAGGTTCGGTCGATCCAAAGCTGCTTTTTTCACACCTGTAAAAAAGCAATTAGCCTCACACAATAACACATTTTAAAGGTAAACAATTATAAAAAGTTGTTATAAGTGTCTCTAACTAGAACATTTTACTTTGTGTTGTCAGTAGATAGTTTAGCTGGTTCAGTCCTTTAAAATTAGCCTAATGGAAAGCTAGCGATTTGTAGCTTCTTAGCTAGTAAGCTAGCATTACTTTGACATTAAAAAGCTCACATAAGTCTATTTTTAAAAATTTGTATAGATTTTAAATATAGATAATTAAAAAAAGTATTTTATAAAATAAAAATAAACTCACATCATCAAAAAAAAAAGAAAAGGAAAACGCCTTTTTCGGTGTTTTTATCCAGAGCAGACTTTAGCTGTAAAACGGTTTATTAACAAAGATCGTCTATGAAAGCAAGATGTAATTAAAAGGTCGTTTTGAGGAGTGAAGCGCATGCGCTCTTTAAAACACAATAATACTAACAACAATAATAGTAATAATAACAAGTCATTGTAAATTATATTTGTATGAAAAAAGTCAGTTAAAAAAGCCTCAAAACAAGTTTTAGTTAACTGTTAGTTAAATTTAGTTACAAAAAATAATTTTTTCACCATAGAGTCCAGTTAGACAGATTAAACACGCAGATTTTTCACTTTACAGCCCAGCCACAGAAAAGCACTGAAAAAAATAAAATAAATCAATGTACACCTTTTTTTAACATTACAGTAGTATGAAAACATTTACATTTGCTGTATTTGGCACATGCTGAAAACACCCAGAATGACAGGCCATCATAAAATATAACCTGAACATGATTAAGAATAAAAAATAAAAAAAACAACATGGGGCTAATGCACAAGGAAGAAATGTCAAGTTTATAACACAAAATTTATTTATTTAGGAGGTGTTTTGTTGTTAAGCAGACAGCATATTATGAACGTGAAAACCATAAAAAATTACATAAAAAGATGGAGTTTTGTTCTGCCTTCATTTCAGAGACAAGTGGCAGCAGAGTGAAGAAAGTTGATGCCAACAGTCTCGATAAGCTCATCGAGAGAGCTGGCTCAGTTCTGGGAGTGGAACTGCAGTCTCTGATAGAAGTGTCTGAGCAGAGGATGCTGAGGAAACTGCTCCTGATCCTGAACAACACGTCACACCCCCTGCATGACACCCTGGACTCTTACTGCAGCACCTTCAGTCGTAGACCGAGACCACCGAGGTGCTCCACAGAACACCACAGGAAGTCCTTCCTCCCTGTGGCAATCAAACTTTTCAACTCCTCCCCAGGACAATAAAACTGATCATGCACCACAATAAACACTTTAAAGTTTCTGTCTGCACCTGACCTGTTTATAACTTAATTGTTGGAATTTTATATTCTCTGTTATTTCTTATATCTTGTGTGATTCCTTGTGTTTGTTCCTTTGTACTGAAACTCTGACGTAACAATTTCTTGCGGGACCAATACAGTTCTATCTTATCATGTTCATGTTTTATTTTTGATGACTTTTCATTACGTTGGGAACCACTGCACACATGGATGTTTTCTACATGTGAGACATGCAGCAAGTGTAATCATTTTCATACACTAGAAGGTGCTGCATGTTGGTGTCAGCTCTGTTACTTTCAAACTGAGATGTTGCTTTTGAAAACTTTAAATTCCTCTTGCTTTCTGGATGTAAATCACTTTTTTTGGGATGAAGATTTACTCTGATATCAGTTGCTGTGCAGCTGGAAGGATTTTTACTGAAACCTTGTTGCTTTTGGGCATTTATTATGAATTGTAACCATGACAACAAGATGTTTTTTTACAACGGGAGGAGCAGCTGATTAACATTTCAAAAGCTCAAATAATACCTCAGCTACAGCCCCAAATCAGAAATGAGTTAAAAAGGAGCTGCCATGGACACATCCCCGTCTACCTGGTGGAGGTGCTAGTGACTGACTGCTGAGATCCTGGAGCTGGCAGGAAACGTGGCTCATGACAACAAGAAGACCAGGATCAGCCCGACACCAGCAGCTGGCTGTCCTCAATGACGAGCAGCTCAACAAGCTGCTGGGAGGAGAGACCATCACTCAGGGAGGAGTTCTGCACAACATTCAGGTGGTCCTGCTGCTCAAGAAGACAGAGAAACCCGCCAAGTCCAAGTAAACTGATTAACATCTGCAACCAGTTTCTTCAGATCTGCTCTAAGACAGACCACTACAAGAGATCATTCCTGCCCACCGCCATCAGCATCTAGAACAACTCTTTAATACCAGGATGATGAGCTACAACATTTAATTTCCCTTCGGGATTAATAAAGTGTTTTTGAATTTAATTGAATACAATGTAATATTATAAAAATATTTATTTATGTACTGTTTTATTTATTTATTCGTGTTTAGTTTTTTGCTTTGTTTTTACAGGAAAGGTGATCTCTTCCTGCAAACTCTGGGAAGTTCAGTTCATTCTCATTGGCTCCACACTACACCGCACCAGTTAAGGACCTGCCCACTTCACCACATTCACTCAGCCCAGTTTAATGAACCACATGGTTTGAGGTTACAAATGGACTGCTCCATTAAGACCATTGTTACAGATATCAATCTGATCCCTTTAACAGTCAATACTGTTTACAGAAGAGACAACAGAGCAGTGTGGCGTGTTTTATATGTTCTAAATATGAATTTATTTTAATGAACGCTTTTGCTGTGAATTAACTGATTTTAAAACCCAGGAGGAATTTCAGACCAACGTTTGAAGATAAATTAAAATCATTGCTGTAATGAACTGAATTTGTGAAAATGAAAGGTACTCACTGCAAATTATGAAATAAAAGATAGAAAAAGTTATCCTAAACTTTATAAAAATGATGCAGTTACATTGATGGAATCTGCAACGTGGACCCACACTCGATGTAAACAAAGCACTCTGCTGAATCAGACACAATCACATTGAAGCTTGAATCACTTGATGGATCTACATTAGATGAGCTGTAGTCTACAAAATATTCAGAGCTGGACAGGAGGAGAGCCTCTGAGAAGACATTCATGTGGAAATATTAGAGTGAATCTGCTGCCAACGAGAGAAAAACTATAAAGACAAGTGTTGAGATGAAATATTGAGGATCCAGCAGTCTGAATGTGAATGTAAACACACACCAATGCATCAGGAGTGTCTGACTTCTCCATCTCAGACTGCTCTTCCCTGGACGTTGCCATTGTTGACCTATTTTCATTCCCTTCAGCTGTTTCTCTAGTTCAACAACTCACCTGGTATTTGTCAGCCGGGAACAACTTTTCTTCTCCTGTTTCCCAGTTGTGATTCAGAGACAACTTTTCTGATCAACAAAACATAAAGATCCAAATCATGTGAGCTGAGCTGAGATGTTTGAAGCTCCACTTCATCTCTGTTAGGAGGAGAAAGGCTCCCTCTTGTGTCGTTCATCACTTTTCAGGTTTTCTTTTTCAGCCTGCAGGAAAAACTAATCTACTGAGACTCTGACAACTTTATAACAAAACAAGAAAAGAGGGATGAAGTCAGTCATCAGACTGGAGTCACATCCAAAACTAAACAAAGATTCATTCATTATTGACACTCGGATGTTTCTTTACAAAATAAAATGCTACACTTGGTTCTAATTATTTATCATCTTCTAACAGGAATAGAAAGTCAAAAAGTAAATCGCATTATTTTATCAAACTCTGGGAGAGCAATTGTCCAAGTGATAAAAATAAAAAGATCAAAGTGGATATTGGAGAAAAAAGTTTTATTTGATCTGAAGCATCATGTGATTAACACAATCATAAAAGTGTAATATTAACAACACATTCTGCTCTTTTACTTTGAATATTTAACATTGAAATAATTGGCAGCACTGTTCAGATTTTATGATATAACTGGAACGTTTCTTGTCCCAATAAAAATCAGAAATGAGTGTTTGAAGCTCGTCTACTCGTGTTTTAAAGGATGACAGCGTCCTCTTGTGTTTGCTCCAGTTT